TCTTGCTATTGCGCAATACTGTGCAATTGAAGATTTCTTGCTATTGTGCAATACTGTGCAATTGAAAATTTCTTGCTATTGCACAATACTTATTATATAATAATTTACACATCCTGTTTGGTGTGTATCTCCTACCATATCATTATTATTTGCTTTTAAATATAAATCAGAAATAACCAACTTAAAATGGAAAATTTTAAAAGAAAAAAAAAAAGGAAAAAAAGAAAAAAAAAAAAAAAAAAAATCCCCCCCCCAAATTTTTTGAACCCCCTTATGATTCATCACCTCCAAACTCAATCCCAGCCTTCCCTTTGTGGTATGGTACCTTGCAGTACAATTTCAGAGAGATCCATACACTTGAACACAAGTTATTGTCTGGAAACTAGAAAAATGCTTATTTTTGGCCCCTTTTTGGCCCCCAATTCCAAAACGTTTCGGGCAATTACCCCCAAACTCAATTCCAGCTTTCCCTTTGTGATATGGAACCTTGTAGTACAATTTCAGAAATATCCAAACACTAACACACAAGTTATTGTCATGAAACTAGAAAAATGCTTGTTTTTTGCCCCTTTTTTGGCCCCTTATTCCTAAAATTTTGAGGCAATTACCCCCAAAATCAATTACAGCCTTCCCTTTGTGATATGGAACCTTGTGGTACAATGTCAGAGAGATCCATACACTTACACACAAGTTATTGTCTGAAAGTTACAAAAATGCTTATTTTTGGCCCCTTTTTGGCCCCTAATTCCTTAACTGTTGGTACCATAACCCCCAAAATCAATCCCAACCTTCCTTTTTGTGGTATTGAACCTTATGGTGAAATTTCATGGAGATCCATTCACTTAAACTAAAGTTAGAGTGCGAAAACCAATGTGTCTTCGGACGACGCCGGACGACGCCGGACGACGACGACGACGACGACGACGACGACGCCAACGTCATACCAATATACGACCAAAAAATTTTTAATTTTTGCGGTCGTATAAAAACTGAAGAATTTCCTTAAATTACTAATTCAGGGGCAGCAACCTAACAAGGGCTTGTGTGATTTGTTTATAAATTTCAGGGCAGATGCATCTTAACCTGATGAACATTCTCACCCATTGTCAAATTTGCTTGAAATGCTTTGGTTTCAGAGATATAAGCCAAAAACTGCATTTTACTCCTTTGTTTTATTTTTAGCCATGTCGGCCATGTTGGTTGGCAGGCAGGGTCATCGGACACATTTCTTTAAACAAGATACCCTAATACTGATTGTGACCAAGTTTGGTTAAATATGTCTCAGTAGTTTCATCAGAGAAGATTTTTGTAAGATTACAAAAAATAACAAAAAAATACTATAAAGGACAATAACTCCTTAAGGGGTCAATTGACCATTTTGGTCATGTTGACTTATTTGTAGATCTTACTTTGCTGAACATTATTGCTGTTTACAGTTTATCTCTATCTATAATTATATTCAAGATAATATTCAATAAATTGCATTGCTGAGCGTAGCCTGATACGACCGCAGAGGTCCAACCCTGAACAGTTGTGGCAAAAATAGACACAATATTCGCGCTTGATACAGGTCTGAATTTGGATTGAAATTTGATATTTGAAACATAATAAGTATCTGACACAGAATAACTGTAGTCAAAGAACTAAGAGTTGGTTATAGGATTAGAATTTATATTTATTTTTTTTCCTTTATGTACAATACACTATGCTGTTGCCAATTGATCCTCCCCCAAAAAATAAATTTATCCCCCCTTTTTTTCTGAAGATATTTTCTTTTTAATTTCTGAAATCTGAAATGAGAAAAAATTGCCCCCCCCCCCTTAATATTTTTCACCTCCCTCCCTCCTTTTTCCAAAAAAAAAATTCTTCCCCTCAAGATATGGTCATAATCTCAATTCAAATTTCCAATGGAGTTTGCAACCATAATTACCCTTATAAATACATCATAAAAGTCTTAAAATAGAAAGTGACATACATAATCATGGCTTAAAACAGATATTTCTTAATCAGCTTTTTTTAAAATAGTAACTTCTAAAAATAAATTGACAGCTAATCACCTCAAGACAATACAACATTTATTTATTCATAATTTAAAAGCAGTGTAAGGGAGGTAATCCAAACATATACTTTTTTAATTGTCAATAAACAGGGAAATACTTGTTTTCCCCCTTTTTTTCCCCTAATTCCTAAACGGTTTGAGCTATACCTTCCCCCTTCCCAAAGCCAATCCTAACCATCCCTTTGTGGTATGGAAACTTGTGGTATAATTTCAGAGAGATCCATACACCATTCCAGAAGTTATTGTCTGGAAACTAGAAAAATGCTTATTTGGGCCCTTTTTGGCCCCTAATTCCTAAACTGTTTGGATCATAACTCCCAAAATCAATCCAAACCTTCCTTTTGTGGTTAAAAACCTTGTGTTTAAATTTCATAGATTTCTATCTACATTTACTAAAGTTATTGTCCAGAAACCAAATGTCTTCGGACGACGCGGACGACGACGACGTGATACCAATATACGACCGCAAAAGTTTTTGCGGTTGTATAAAAACTGGAAAATTTCCTTTAAATTACCAATTCAGGGGCAGCAACCCAACAATGGGTTGTCCGATTTGTCTGAAAATTTCAGCGCGAAAGATTTTGACCTGATAAACAAATTCACCCCCATGTCAGATTTGCTCTAAATGCTTTGGTTTCAGAGATATAAGCCAACATCTACATTTTACCCCTATGTTCTATTTTTAGCTATGGCTGCCATCTTGGTTGGTTGGCCGGGTCATCGGACACATTTTTAAACAAGATACCACAATGATCATTGTGGACAAGATGGTTAAATTTGGCCAAGTAGTGTCAGAGGAGAAGATTTTTGTAAAAGTTAACAGACTCAGGACGACAGACGACGGACACCGGATGACAGACGCCGGACGCCAAGTGATGAGATCTTATTTATTGATATTTGCAATGGCATGTCAAAAATCTTGCAAAATACAATTTAAAAATCAGAACATTGAAATGCATTTTCCTAATACATTATTTACATGTTATATACAAGTTACGGAATTTCTCTCAGTCAATAAGTTATATATGGACCTGTTCGATTATATTGACACTCGAACTTCGTCCTCTGTCAATATAATTTGAAGAAATTATATATTACATATTGATCAGAAAGAACTATATGCACTGAGGATGAAATTCGAGGAAGATATACTTTTCTACTATGATATGTCCTCGTATCGACCTCGTTCAAAGGTAAAATTGTTATATAATTATTGGCAATGAGGCAAAATTAAAGTTGGTCATCAGGTGCAAAAAGTGTTAATTTTGACGATTTGTCGTCCCTTTTCTTAATCTGGAAAGCCGAGTGATGCTGATAGATGTAACCAACTGTAGTCTACATGTAGAGTAGACTCCATTGAACACATTTACAACAACAGTTCTTATGTCAGAGTGAAACTTATCTTGGCAGAGAAGTCTATAAAAGAAGGTCATTTTGACCAAAAATTAGAAATTTCTCGATTTTACCCGATTTTTTACTGCAACTGAAGCTGGAACCGGAAGTAGTCGTTTTCTAGGCGTATTTCAATAATAAACAAAAATAGAAGATATATGCCCGCGGGTTTACACTACAGGTGGAAGTTTTAGGCCTCTAAACTTTGTGTGTTAGACATCGAATGGAAGCCCACCCCATACAAAAACTGTTTATCCGATTTCAATTTTCGTATTTGTATCGAAATTCGTATTTGAGCTCAATATGAACATTGAAATGCAGAAACATGACAACATTGGTGCAAGATTGAGATAACATTTAGAATAAATGAAACCGTATTGAATAACATTGAAAATGTAAATTTACTATTGTCTGAATATCCTGGAAAAAAAATACTTAGAACAGTAATTAATGTAACAAAACGCAGACAACACCTATATTTAGATAATTAACATGTTTACAAAACTCCTGATGTCAATCTGAATTAATACTATAGTATCTATCTAAAGTGACTTATTGGTCCTTTGGGCCGGTGTAGTTTAATTGAAATATTTCAGTATTGTACATATTTTTGTTGTACACAATGTCACTATAATGAACATATTTGTATTGTATTATAAATGTCGTAAAGTTGACCTCAAAAAGTATGGAGAGCAATTGGAGCCAAAGAACAGTATTTTAAGTATGGTGGTAATATAACGGCCCCTGTATGGTAAAGTTTTTTAAAAGAATAATTGAAAAATTTGCGATATATAATATGTTGAAGACTTTTGGTAAAATTTAGAGTCAACTCGAGTGACAAAATTTAGAAATTTGATCTAGGGACATTTATTCAGACCATGTGTGTGTATTTGTTTAATCCGATTTTTTCATGAAAATAAAGCTGATTTACAAATGATGTGACGACATATCAATAAAGTAGTTTGGTGTCTTTTTCTGAATATCTCTTCTTGGCATCTTACAGAAATTGTTCATGTGTATCATTCAATATACATCAGAAACATCTATAACTTGAAATTTTTAGATTAAACTATCAAAAAATTTAGTTTCGTTAATCGTGTCTGAAATTTTCAGAAAACTCCGTTTAAATACAATGACAGGTAATGAATTTGATTGGAAACTTTTGTGTTTCCTTTTTTTTTTTTAGAAAATAAGGCGTGATCCCACTATTTTCATTTGATATTTCGAAAGCATTTATGAAAAGCAATTCTCTAATTGAATTTTAACCAAATCAATCGTTTGATAGTTTCTCAAAAAGGAAAATACAACCTACATGACTGTATATAGTATAACTGTGATTTCGTTACTTTCAATGTATTTTAACGAAAAACAAGCTCCGTGACCCCAAGTTTTTAAGTTGGAATTTGAAAATACAAAGACCGAGAAGTCTGTTATAGAAGTTTAAGACAAATGTATCGTCGAACATTTATACTACCCAGCTACCATAACCGTTTCAAAACAAAATCAGTTTATGAAAGATCAAAAACAATAAAATGTAAATATTACTCACATTGTATGAATTAAGAATCTTCAGTACCAGCACATAATCTGCTAAGTAAAGTATATATCACGTAGGTCTTCCAAGCCACCTAAACATTCGATGTATTACACATTCACTGTTAAATTGTTATAAACACAATGGTATTAGAAGTATAAATCCAAACCAACATTACAAGTGTCATGTCCGCCAGGCAAACTGCGCAGTTTGAAAGATTGGCGTCGTCACTAAGTTGGAATGTTATGATTGGCTAATTTCAGCAGCCAATGGAAAGTTGTTATCTAGTTTTGCTTATTTGCAATCCATATTGCTATAAAATTTTTAATAAAATGCTTAATGAGTTCAAATCATCAGATTTTCAAATTTGACAGTCATGATTAAAGACAAAGTTGTAAATCAAAACAATGCAACCGTCTAGGATAATCTAACTTTCCTTTCTGTACCTAAAATTTACAACTTACTGTTTAAAAATAGCATGCGAATTCCAAATAATAACACAGTGCAACAAAATGTAGAATACATTTAAAGCAGCTTAAAAATCAGGAAGACCTTAAGTGTTTCTTGACGACAGTTTCTTGACAACAGTATTGTCAACGTATATTTCTTCCGACTAACAGAAGTTCCACTGGAAACTTTAATAAACAATGTCATAATATCCTATACATGTACCATTTGTTCCGTTATGAACATATACAGTAATATTCCAGATTATGTCTTTTTTCATTTGGAACTTATGTTATGAAGGAACTTCTATTTCATGATATGATTTAGAAATTGTTTAGCAGAACATTTAACATGTTAAAAAGTTACACAAAGTTTGTTTTCAGAATGCATGGTCATTCCTATATATAACAAGTACCTATAAATTTTTAGTAAAAAATTCAGTGTAGTGTTCTCTCAGTTTTGAAGTCACTGTAGTTTAGTTCAAAGATTTTTTGTAGAAAGGGTTCGTGTTGTATCGGTAAGGTGCGTATTATTACATAATGATTGATTCACTTTTTCTTTACTTTGATTTATGTTGGTATTCCAGAAATCATACTGATCATAAATATACAATGTTTTATTAAAAATATTCGACTGCAATTTCTATATAAGTTTCTTATCCCTGTGGTGGTACTATTCACATTTTCGTGTTTACTTCTTCTTTAAAATATCGTATACATGTGCTATCGAATTGGTTTTGGTGAGTCAAGCCTTTTACAATTGTTACTTATGCTGTGTTCTTACTCCACTCTGTCAATTTCGTGGAATTTAAAAGGGTTGAGGAGGTACATATGTTCATCTGTTTGGTCTTAAAATTAAAAAAAAATATTTTGCTATTTCGATGATCATAAACAAAAATATAAAGCCTAGCTATCAAAATAAGAATATGTGGTATGATTGCAAATCCCACGGCTATCATTCGGTATACAAGTACAAAAAAAAGATAGTGAAAGAAAAGTAACGGTGGTATGCCCATTGGGTGAAAGATCTGGTCTAGAATCGTGAAAGAAATCTTATCGAGAAGAAGACACATTCAGCGATTTATAATAAAAATTAAAGATGTCTGTCAAAATGGTTTCACATTATGATCAGTATCCGAGAATAATCAAGGTTTAGAATACACCTGTTTTAACATACAAAAGGCAGGTTGCTCTCGAAATTTCAAACAAAAAATGCATAGTACTGTTTAGAAATCTTATTTTTCGGTATATTTATTTTTAAGGGTGCATGCCGTACAAAATAGTACACGCATATTTTCATATAAATGTACTAATCATCGGTATGAAATACACTCTTACAGCTTGTTATTCTATATGTTTTCATTTTTAGTATAGGAAATAGACATTACAAGTTATTTTTCTAAAAAAAATACAAGATATTTGAGGATGCCGAGTGTATGAAAAGCCAGTAAATAGTAATGCTACCGCACATATTATTTTTTTCTTATTTCGTTTATTTGAAAGCATACACATCGTACTAAGGAACAAATTTAAGTCAACTTACATTAAATATATATTTAATGTTCGACCTATGGTAGTAAAGCGCATGTATTCTCAGGTCTGTGTGTTCGTTCATTCGTTCGTTCGTTCGTTTGTCCGTTGATCCGTTCGTCCGCTCCTGTATCCGTACGTCAGTCAATGAATGTAGTTAAAGATGAAGTTGTAGTCAGATCAATTTGAAACTTAGTGGCACATGTTCATTATAATGTGATCTTTCTAAATTGAATTCCGAAATTAGCATTTCGACACAAGTTCAACGGTTTACTGAATATGAAAAATGATTGTGCGAGCAAATCATCATGAACAACTATTCTTGTTTTTTTTTTCATTCAAATTGTTTACTTTTTATTCTCATTTCTAATCCACCAGTGCTATTATATAGCCATTATATGCTTAGGAAATAGACGTCTTAAATGGTTTTGTTTGCAATTATTGATACAAGTTTATAATATGATACGTTTAGAGTTTGGAAAACACAGAAAACGTAAAATAGACGTCAAAGTATGGTTATTTTCCTAACTTGTCCTCTTCCTGATGGTGTAAAATCCGGGGAGAGGCGCACCTTTGTTTATATAAATACATGTATCATATTATTTAGTATGTGTTGAGATGCAGCGGAATAAAAATGGTTCGTTAACAAAAGCTGTATTAAAAATAAACACATACAGAATGTCTTCAAACATCTGACACAGGCTTTATTTTAAGATGTTAAGACATTTTTCGAATTGCTGGCACGTTTTTTTTTAATATATATATTTCTTTTTCTATGCTCATTGGTATCAATATGCCGGCATTAAGCAACCAAGCTAGTTAGTGCATTCAGTTCCAGACGTCATTGGTTTTGGTTTTTCCCACTTCCACTTCCAATGCTGGGCATCTCTGGTCATTTAGTCGTTAAAAAAATAACATATTCCGTACTGGTAGCTAGAATTTCTATAGATATTTAACAGAACGTTTTATCATAATGGGGTTTGTGGTTTTCACACATATCGCAATATGATTCTTTGACAAGCTTATTCTTATTGCTAACTTTAGTGGACGATAGAATATATTTCGTACTGGTAGCTAGAATTTCTATTTAACAGAACGTTTTATCATAATGGGGTTTTGTGGTTTTTACACATACCGCAATATGATTCTTTGGCAAGCTGATTCTCATTGCTAACTTTAGTGGTCGATAGAATTGGTCGCTAGCTTGATTGGTCGCTAGAATTGGTCGCTAGCTTGAGTCTGGTCATAAATATACATCGAGTCCTAAAAACAAATCCATATCACACTGTTGACTTGTCAAGTGTAAATAGTTGTTGAGGAACAGACCTAATACTGATAACTTAATATATTGGCTGGAATGCAAAACTATGTCCAGACCATATGACATATGCCAAGGAGACATATACTGCTAGCAACCAAACAGTATATTATTTATAGTTATATGTACTGATGGAAAGACCTAATCCTGTTTTATGTATTTGGTCAAATCCAACGATAACTATATACATTTCTCTATTTATGTTATGAGGTAGAACAATTGAACCGACACTGCATAAGTTTTACTGTCACCATCATGAATTGGTTAACCAACATGTATCTTGGGTCTTATGAGAATCGTTGATGATCTATAAATTTACCGATTGTTTCCTATTCCCAATTGTGACAAAATGAATGTATGTGAATTCGCTTGGCTGGTGATATGTGCATAACAGGGGACGCTTACCATGTCAATGTACCTGGCTTCACTCCTTTGGAGTTCAAGGGATTCCCTCAGTTTTTGTTTTTTTGTCTTGATTTGTATTTCCTTAATGGATATATGAGATTTGAATAAATCAATAAATGACTTGTTTCAAATTACAAATAAATGGGGAACGTGTCCATAGGACACAGATGATGCCCCCGCTTGCATATAACGTTATAAAGGGATATAACTCAAGAACTGTAAAAGTGACGCTACCCAAATTTGTACTTGATCTGAGTTTTGTGGTAATAAGCATTGTGCATAAGTTTCATAACATTTGGTTGAGGCAAACTAAAGTTAGAGAACAGAAACAAATATTTCAGAAATTTTTCCATTTGTAAAGGGGCATAACTCTAGAACGGTAAAAGTGACGCCACCAAAATTCAAACTTGATCTGTGTTTTGTGATAATAAGCATTGTGTACAAGTTTCATAATATTTGGTTGAGGCAAACTAAAGTTAGAGAACGGAAACGAAAAATTCAGCAATTTTTCCATTTGTAAAGGAGCATAACTCTAGAACAGTAAAAGTGACGCCACCAAACTTCAAACTTGACCTGTGTTTTGTAGTAATAAGCATTGTGTATAAGTTTCATAACATTTGGTTGAGGCAAACTAAAGTTAGAGAACGGAAACGAAAAATCCAGCATTTTTTTCCATTTGTAATAGGCCGTAACTCTAGAACGGTAAAAGTGACGCATCCAAAATTCAAACTTGATCTATGTTTTGTGGTAATAATCATTGTGTATAAATTTCATAACATTTGGTTGAGGCAAACTAAAGTTAGAGAACGGAAACCAATTTTGGGACGTACGTACAGACGAACAAAGGTAGAACTTAATGCCCCCCTCCGCTACGGCGGGGGCATAATAAAACCCAATAATCTGTATTACAATTTGATAATATGAGTCCTTCAGATAATATGACTAAATACTGTTTGTTTAAGACCTGAGTAACCACCCAGAGAATGTCTTCTTTCTTCTTCTTCTTCTTCTTCTTAATGTCTTCTTTCTTCTTCTTCTTCTTCTTCTTCTTCTTCTCTTCTTCTTCTTCTTCTTCTTCTTCTTCTAAATGTATTTCCTTCCAATTATGGAACACCTCCTCAACGGATACTATCCATGTGGGGATCCGGAGTTAATCAAAACTTAAATATTACGCACTAAAAGTTTTCCACAAATAACTAAATTTTTTTAGATTCACTGTACACGGATGAAATCTAAAAATATTTAAGGACTTATAAAATAACTTTGTACATTCACCTTACACAATTAAAAGGTAAAAATATCTGGGCTTTATCAATATGTATTTTAAGATTTACTGTACACAACTAAAATCTAAAAATATAGGGTGCTTTATACAATGGAAAGCAGGACACCCCTGCCTCTACCTTTACACATATGTACATAATGTTCATCTCATATCTTTCCTTATTACACTGATTGTACGATCTATATATTTAGCGAGACAGTTATTATTTTCCTTGTAATTTCCAT